ATTACCATTATGTTCTGGGATCCATTCTTAGCAAACAATGTCTTGAAGTTTGGACAGATATAAAAACTTAATAACTCTCCAAAGAGATGATGAGCATATTTTTAATCTCTGTTTGTACTTGCAATATTCTCTTATTTCGCATTAGCAGAAAATAACCACTAGTACTTTTCTGGTAATTATTAAAATAATTTCTTTCCTCAAAGGATTAGTATGTTTGGTGAAAATTGGAAAATTTTCTTCATATGGCATTAAAACAAACGTATTTCTGAGTGGAAGTCATTAAGAAATAGGCAAAATTATGGCCCTAGCTTAGGAGAAACCTGTGTTCAGACTTCTGCTCTGATTCAGATGAGGGGCTTTCAGACTGCATCATCTTTTAATCAGGCAGAATAGGAAAGTGTTTCAAGTTTACTGCTGTAACTTGTAGGTAACAGGGAATGAACATTTCTGTTTCTCTCAAGCAAGCAGACATATCTTTCTAGTGAAAATTTATTTGAAACTATAACTTGTCCTGTAATTATTTTTTTCCCCTTCAGAAAACATATTTTCATAACATTTGAACAGTGAAAAATATTCTGTCCAGTTTTAGTTTAGCTGGCATTCTGTGTTTATTTAAACGCATATATATATATATATATGCACACATAACTTCAAAACTTTTCTTACATTTCTTTAACATTAAAATTCAGAAAGGTCCAAATGAGGTACGTACAAACATGTACATACTCGCATGCGTTGTTTTTTTCTTTATTACTTGGATTAATGAGGATATGTTGGAGAAGCAGTATTTTTTTTCACTCTGGAGTGAATCATTTCAGGCTGCCTGTAAATGCCATTAGAACCATCTCCATAGCAACTAATGGAGATGCTCAAGAAAAGCGATCCCAAAGTTTCAGATAAAACAACATTAGAATACCTTAGAAAGTAGGATGTATGTTTCTGTAGATGGAGCTCAAAAGTGAAGGGCGACACAAACAGTAAGATAATCAGGGCACTGGTGCCAGCAAACATAAAGAATGTGATTAGTTTTTACAATCACCTTGGAGTTATTTGACTCTTGAATTAAAGGGAGAGTGCTTTTCATCTTCAAAGAATTTAGGTATCAGGTTTGAATCTTGGTTATGATAAGACAGATATCTTCTTCAGGAGTGTCTAAAATAGTCAGCAAAGCAAACAGGTTTTGTTTATTTTCTCATCTGTGTATTATTAAGAATTATTATAATTGATATTGTAAGCATGAATATTTGCCTCATTTTAACAGATGAAATAAAGTTGTCTTAAAAGTCAAGGTCAATTTTGTCTGTTTGGTTATACAACTCTAATTAGCATGCTTTTGAGCATCTTACATGAATCATTGTTCATGTCAAAAACTGCTCACCAGTGTCACTAATATTTACAGTTCCATTGCCACATTGCTCTGTATATTACAGATAACTTTACAGGTAAAATAGATTTCCAGATGATTCTTAAGCACATCCTGTGTAAAAATAGTCAAAAACTGCTCACCAGTGTCACTAATATTTACAGTTCCATTGCCACATTGCTCTGTATATTACAGATTTCCAGATGATTCTTAAGCACATCCTGGGTAAAAATATGAGCATGAAACTGATAGACCAATTTTTTTTTCTATTGCACAGACCTTTGTAGAATAGAACAACTCAACTCTCACTGACTATACTATAAGTTGAGGTTTTCTTGCATCTTAGCAGGTTTAAATAATAGTCAAAATAAGAGCATTGAATACATTCATCATACATAAAATGAAAAGACACAAGTAATTAAAAAGGAGCAGTCCTGTTTCTGGAGAGGTCAGCCTTTCAAAACAGAAGAGATTGCCTCTGCAGAAGAGAAGGTGATGTTACTATTTAGTGATAAAAAAGCATTCTGCCTTAATTTGAAAGGACCTGCCTAATGAGCCGTGCTTAGTTCCCGTAGACAAATTTATTACTCACACTTAACATGGACATCATTATTAATTATGCGAGCAGGAGTCATACCATCCTGCCAGCAGAGATGCTGGGTTGCCCTGAAGCTGGATGTAAGCCAAAGACTTTCCTCACAG